TCCCTGACTCACTGAGGCCTGCCCTGAGTCACCCGCCCCGCCCTGGCGAGCGTGGGAGAAGCCATGGGTGGGGCCTCCCAGCACCTACTGGGACCCCGGGTTCTCCGGCAGAGCCTGGGGGCGCCCAACTGCCCTCAGCCCTGAGCCCCTGGGGGGCCGGCCGACAGGAAGAGCAGCACATGGCGAGCCAGCCAGGTCCATCTGGGGGCAAACTCAGAACGTATGCGTCCCTTCCCCGTGACAGGCTCACACATGGTCCCAGACGCAGGCAGACACAGGGCAGCCCCAGGAGAGAGACTCCGGCCCCCTCCCCACCCCCATGCCCCACGGGAAGGAGCAGACAAACAGAAGCAGAAACATTCCCAGCAGGTCTGGGAATCCTGGACGGGAGCCACCGCCTGCTGGTCTGAGCAGGGCCCCTGCGGGATTGCAGGGGAGGCCCCTGGAGTGACCCAGATACTCTCCATGAGAACAGAGGGTGGGGGGCCCTGGTGCCAGGCAGCCTGCCCTGTGCAGGAATCCTGGCTCCACGTGTGTGTGTGTGTGTGTGTGTGTGTGTACCTTGTGAACGTGTGTCCATGGATATGTGTGCATCCGTGTGATGTGAGTGTGTCCATGGATGTGTGTGCATCTGTGTGACGTGTGTCCATGGATATGTGTGTCCCGTGTGATGTGTGTGTGAATCCATGTGATGTGAGTGTGTCCATGGATGTGTGTGTCCCGTGTGATGTGAGTGTGCCCATGGATGTGTGTGTCCCGTGTGATGTGTGTCCATGGATATGTGTGTCCCATGTGATGTGTGTGTCCATCCCGTGTGATGTGAGTATGCCCATGGATGTGTGTGCATCCATGTGATATGAGTGTGTCCTGTGTGATGTGAGTGTGCCCATGGATGTGTGTGTCCCGTGTGATGTGTGTGCATCCATGTGATATGAGTGTGTCCCGTGTGATGTGAGTGTGCCCATGGATGTGTGTGTCCCGTGTGATGTGAGTGTGTCCCGTGTGATGTGTGTGCATCCATGTGATATGAGTGTGTCCTGTGTGATGTGAGTGTGCCCTGATGTGAGTGTGTCCCGTGTGATGTGTGTGCATCCATGTGATATGAGTGTGTCCCGTGTGATATGAGTGTGCCCATGGATGTGTGTGTCCCGTGTGATGTGAGTGTGTCCCGTGTGATGTGAGTGTGTCCCGTGTGATGTGAGTGTGTGTGCCTGCATGAATGCCAATGCCATGTCCTCCTCACTGAGCCACAGCAACTGGGACCAGTCAGACAGTAAGATGAGCCTCCCAGGATGTGTGGGGCGGAGACCCCGGTCCACAGCATAGGGGCCACCAGGCAGCTGGGTTCCCAGGTCCTTCCCCCCCATCCTCCCACCTCATCCTCAAGGGTGGCCTAGGTGGTGCCCAGGGGTCAGAGGGCGGAGGATGGCACAGGGAGAAGTTAATTAACACCCTGGCTGCGCTGCCAATTAGGAGCAGGAAGATTATAATTTGGGGTGGGGGCGTGCCCCCCCAGGCTGAGCCTCACTAGCATCAAGGAGTTAATAGCTCCTGCCTAGAAGCCTCATTAACCAGGGCGGGTCTGGACAATCCGGAAGGCACAGGCCCTCCCTTCACCACCCTGAGTCCTCTGGGCAGATGCGACTCTTCACCCACAGGTGTGGCCCCAGCAGGGACCCTGGCAGAGGCTGACCCCCCAGCAGCACCTTCCGGTCAAAAGTCCCTGCCCCTCGCATCACCCAGGCACCCACCCACCCTGGTCTGTCTCTCTGCT